TGACCGCGGGCAGCCGCAGCGCCGTTCCCGGGCCAGCAACCTGCGGCCGCGGGCTTTGCGCTTCCGCGCACGTCCTCAGAGGCGGCTGCCGATTGGCCAGAGGGGCTTACCCAGGCGAGGAGAGGGCCGGGATTGGCTGGCTCTGGGAACGCCCGCCACTCCGGTCACGTGGCTGCCGTCCAGGTAGTAGGAGGCTGCGGTGCCCCAACTCCTGGTCCTCGGGTAGCATCCTTCCTCCTCCTCTTCCTCTTTCTCCTCCTCCTCCTCCTCCTCCTCCTCCTCCTTCTCCTCCTCCTCCCCCCACTCCCGCGAGGGCTGCATGAGTTGGGGGCGGGTGCCCACAGTCCTGCTCGGCGGAGGGGTGAGTGCCAGCTTGCCCCGCCCCTTCCGGTCTGGAAGTCGCGCCCACCCCAACCCCACCCGACCCCAAGCATCCGGAACCGCCGTGAGAGACCCGCCGTGGTGTTCAAGTTCCTGAGTTTCGGGGATATTTCCCCTCTCGGGGAAGGAGCCGTTCTCCTCCCCGGCGGAGGCCCCTGGGGTGTAGGTTCCTGGGGCGTCGGTGCGGACCGGGAAACTAGCTCCACTCCGCTCGCAGGCCGCGCTGCTCCTGTCACTCCTCTGGATGCCCGCGCTGCTGCCCGCGGCCTCCCGTCTGCTGTTGCTGCCCCGAGCCTTGCTGTCCATGGCCTCTGCCAGCCCGCCGTCCCAACCCTCCCCAGCCTCGGGCTCGGGCTACGTGCCGGGGTCGGTGTCTGCAGCTTTCGTCACGTGCCCCAACGAGAAGGTCGCCAGGGAGATCGCCAGGTGGGGACCCTGGGGAGAAGGGCGGGCTGGGGGCGGGGAGGGGTGCCCCGGTGCACCCCGCTCTGGAAGCCTGCCCCAGGGCTGCCTGCACGGCTCCCCGCGCACCCCCCGAATGCTCTTTCACCCACAGGGCAGTGGTGGAGAAGCGCCTGGCAGCCTGCGTAAACCTTATCCCTCAGATCACGTCCATGTGAGTTTGAGACTTAGACGGTTAGCCCCATTGGAGGTGCTGACTGGGAGCTTTTTCCGGGGCCTAAAACTTTCCTTCCCAAGACTTTTCCCCTCTCTTTCTCTGACCCCTTCAGCTATGAATGGAAAGGAAAGATCGAGGAAGACAGTGAGGTGCTGATGGTGAGAAACACGCCCCATCCACCAAAACTTCACCGGACCCTTCAGCTCCACCCCTTGGTTTACCCTGTCTCTCTTTGCCCCTTAGATGATTAAAACCCAAAGTTCCCTGGTCCCTGCTCTGACAGATTTTGTTCGGTAAGAACCTTTTTCTTTTTGGGTGGTGGTACTGGGTATGGAACCAGTGCCTTGAGTGATCAACCCCTGAGTTTATCTCCCCTCCTGGAGAGCGAGCTTTGAGATGACAGGGGCAAGGGTATGGACTGTCTAGGGCTGGGGTCTGAGTGGGGTAGGTGTGCTTTGGGTATTTGAATAATCCCAGCTCCCATCACCTCTGCCAGGTCTGTGCACCCTTATGAGGTGGCTGAGGTGATTGCACTACCTGTGGAGCAGGGCAACTCTCCGTACCTGCACTGGGTGCGCCAGGTCACCGAGTCTGTTTCTGATACCAGCACAGCCTTACCATGATGAACCTTGCTCCATGAGCCCCTCTACTTAACACCCCTGACTTCCAGATGATGACTGAGCCCCCAATAAACCCTCTCTTTGGTTCTCTCCGCCTTTGTTCCTTATAACGTGTATCTGGTTGGGTTAGATCAGAAGTGCCTCCAGTCCATCTTTGAGAATAACTCAGGGCTACTAGGTCTGTTTATTTCTCTTTATTACAGTCATATAGTCTGGGATCCCCTATCACCCCTCCCTCCTCAATCTCTGCACCCAAGGGTTAAATAATCTTAAAAAATATTTAAAAAGCTGTAACAAAATAACATCAAAGGAAATGAGAAGGATGAGGGGGTCAGGAATCATGAAGAGGGCAGAGAAGACTCGTCCCCACTCCTGGATTCCAGCCTGGACAGCAGGGCACATTCCCTAGCGCTCCAGGTACATCCCAGCTGTAGGTGAGGTCAGAGGTCAGGGTACGAAAGTGCCAGTGTGTGGGGAATGGGGAAGTGGGCCGAGCAGGCTGTTCAGAATATGCCCCCTCCTCCCCATTCAACCAGGTACTGCACAGAGCCATCAGGCCGCACTCTTCGAGCAAGAACCCGGACAGGGTCCCCTCGGGATAGGTAGCCAACCCCACCTCGAACTCCTCCCCCAGTCCCAGGAGACAAACTACGGCACAGGGGAGAAGGGGGAACTGAACGTCTGGGAAGGCCTGGGGTAGAGGCTGGGACTGAGGAAGATGAGGCAGTCATCGAGTGGGAGGAGCTCTTAGGGATGTCTGTGGGGAAGCCAATGTGAAGTTCCAGGGGTGACCTAGGGAAAGAAGGCAACAGTCAGATCCAACAGGCCAGATGGGGTGCTTCAGGTTCAGTTCCCAGCACCCATGTCAGACAGCTCACGTCTGCCTATAACTCCAGTTGTAGGGAATGCAGTGGCCTCTGCACACAGCACATTATGCTCACAGATGAATAAAAATAAGTTTTTAGAAAGTACTGCTTCTGAGTTAGATCTATTTTTTAAAAATCCAGACAGATGTGGACAAAGACTGACAAATGGAAATCACACCATGTGTGGATCAGAGGAAAGACAAGAGTTTGAGACTAAGGAGCCTGGGACTCCAGAAGGGAACTGAGGAGTCACTGCTAACAGGGAACTGACTCACCTGTCTGGGGGTTCATTGTCCCCAGAGGTCCCTGCAGTGCTGGCAGAAGGGTGGAAGGAAGCGAACATCCGGATGGGGCTGCTGGGATTGGGGAACAGGAAAGTCAGAATCAGAATCGGAAGAAACCTTCCCTGTGAAGAGCAGAGCTTAAACTCAACCTCTAGGTGCACCTCAACTCCCAGAATACTGGGTACCAAACTGGTTCTAGAAGTCTCTCTGGGACAAGAGGTGGACATTGAAGGGGGAGAGGGGAAAGCGTTACAGGTGACAGTGCCTAGAGGATACAACTAGGAACTTAACTGTTGGGTAGAGGAGCACTGACCTGGGCAGGCAGCGGGCATCTGTGGGCCGGAAGTTGTAGCCGCTGCTGCCCTGGTAACTCTGGTTAGGGCTGGGGGGTGATGGAGACACTGAGGCCTAGAGGAAAAGGTGGGAGGACTGAGATGATCCTTGAATCCTTCCCACACCACACCGGTTTGCCCATGGGATTCTCCCTGCCCTTGTACCTGCAGTGCCCTCTGCAGACGTGCCCTCTGTCTCTGCTCCCGGGACTCCGGCTGATTGTGCACTGCTGAGGGTGGCCCCAGCTCCTCCACTTTCCCCTTCTTCCTCCTCCTCAGGGGCTCTGGCTCCGGCCTCCGGCGCTTCCCCAGGGGACGTGAGACCCCTCCCCCAGGGCCCTGCCCTGAAGGGAAGCTGTAAGAGGCCTCCTTATCCCCCCAGCCCCCTCCCAAGCACCCCCAAGACCTCCCCATCTCTCTATGTGTGCCCTCCAAACTGACCCGAGACTCTTCCCCCATCCCCTCTGGACCAGTGACCTGGTGGGGGCTCCATCTCCTGTGAGAGGCTCCACAGGAGGAGGGGTCCGAGCATGGAGACCAAAGAGACACTTCCGCTTCTTGATCTCCCTCCCTGAAATGAAACTGGGGGCAAGCAGAGCTGACAAGTCAGTGCTACTCCAAAGGCTCCCCTCACCTGCCGTTCTTGGAGATGGTCCCGACACCATGCGACCCCTGGCCCACCTTCCTCCAACTCACCGGTCCTTGTGACTATTAAGGGCAGAGAGGAGCTTGGAAGAACGTTCTCCCTTGGGGGTGTCTGAAAGCTGAAGAAAAGGGTAAATGGGTTATTGAGGGGCAGTGATGCCCTCTGCCTTCTTTCTCCCTGTTCCACCCCAGTTGCCCAAACAATCCCTTACCTCCCCCAGGAGTAGACTGTCCCAATTCTCAGAGGTGAAGGGGAGGATCTCTCGGTCAAAATCAAAGTATTTTTTCTTACAGCAAACACTGAGGTGGTAGAGGACAAGATGGGCCACGTCCACCCTGGAGAAACACCAAGCTGTCAGAACTGTGTAACATTACAAAAGTCAGGGGTATGTAGGGTAAAATACTGGGGGGTTAGCCAGGCATGGTGGCACATGCCTTTAATTCCAGTTTTCAGGAGGAGGAGGCTGGGGGATCTCCAAGGCCAGCCTTGGTCTATATAGTGAGTTCCTGGCCAGCTTGGACTACAGGAAGACCCTCTCTCAAAAAGACCAAAAAAGGCCAGGCGTGGTGGCACACACCTTTAATCCCAGCACTCGGAAGGCAGAGGCAGGCAGATCTCTGTGAGTTCAAGGCCAGCCTGGTCTACATAGTGAGTTCCAGGACAGCTGGGGCTACAGGGAGACTATGTCTCAAAAAAAAAAACCCAAAAGAGGGTGGGCAGGGTTGAGGAAGGAACGACACTGAAGGTGTGCCTAGTCCATCTCACCAGCGAAGCTGTAGCCTCCGGACCTTCTCAGGGCCACCCCGGCACACACAGCACTCAAACTCATAGAACCTGAATGTGGCCAGGGAAGAGAACACACCTCATTTTGAAATCAGCCCAGGGTCCCCAAGCAAGGAGGGCAAACAAGTGAGGAAATGCCGCAGAGGGCACGGGAGCATCCTGGGCTCCTGGAAAGCAGGCCCACACCATCCGCCCCTCACCTGTCCCCGTAGAGGAGGGGCTTGCTCAGACACTGGGTGCAGGCCTCATGGAACCACTGCAGGCAGCTCTGGCACTGCAGCATTTTCAGGTTCCACCTAGAAGGAAGCGGCACTGGTTGCTTTCAGGCAGCCTTCTTGAAACCACCCTAGACCCAGCACACATCCACCCGCCTCCACAAGGCTCCCCTCACCCTGTATGTTCGCCTTCACTGCAGGGCTCTAGCATAGAACCCACACCACCTTTCAGTACTCACTCCCCAGGGCCACCACAGTAACAGTAACTCTGCTGTCGGTTGCTCAGATGTGCAGCGTCCCAGTCCAATCCCTTTAGTCCATAGGGCAGAGACAGCTTCATACCCAGCATGGCCCGAGCATAGGGACCCTTCTTCAGTGCACCGCCCCTCTGCAGAGAGGAACAGGTGGAAGCCTCAGAGGAGCAGGAGAGCAGAGATGCTGAGAGGCGCCAGAGAAAGGACAACAGAGAGGTGCCTTTACCTTGGTGGCAATTGCAAAGACACACTGGCGGCAGACCCAGGATGTGCCCTCTCCTTCTCCAGGGGCTGGGGCCCTGGGAACATGGCAGTCCTGATGATATGCTGGATAAGGACAATGTTGAGGAGTAGATCACTCACTAGGGTGACCATGGTCACAATGGGGTGGGTGCATTACCCTGACTGCAGGTAAGGAAGCAGAGGCTCCCAGTAGTTTAGGGTCTTTCCCAAGGTCAGAGGGTTAGACAAGGATGGATACAGGCTATGCTCTACCTCACAGCTTACATCACCCTCATCCCATGGCTGCCTCTCCCTGGAGGAGATGAGGTGACAGGGTTAAGACTAGCCAGAACAGTGGCCTGGGAACTTAGGCCAGGGCAGGAGACAGAAGGCCAGTGTCAACCTGAAAGACCATTCAAGTGTCCTGCCCTCTCACCGTGTCGACACTTCTCACAGCTGACCAGGCGGTTCCCAGGGACCACAGTCTCAGAGCGACAGACACAGCAGAGGAGCTCCTCCCCGGGGAGGGCGGCTGTAAGGAAACAAAGTGTCAGGAGGTGGGCCCTCAAGCCACAATGTAGGACACCCCAACTCCTGTCCAGCCTGGTTTCTGCTGACCATAGGTTGCACAATCTCAGATCTTTAGGTCTCACCAGGGCTAATGTCTTTCCATAGTACCAGAAACTGGGAGTCATCCTCAAACTGGACCAGACACACCTCCCGAGCACTGTCCACCTGGAATGGATGAGCACAGACAATGCAATGGGAGAATCAGAGAGAGGATGCAGACACGGCCAGAGATCTGGGGGGGGGGGGGGGTTACCTTCTTGATGGTGCCCAAGTACAACAGTCCATCAGTCCATCTGGCCAACACATCTTGACCCTCCCAAAGTCGAGGTCTGGGGCCTGAGGTGGGACCAGTAGAAGCTGGGTCCCAGAGAGAGGGGGCCCCAGAGCGGCTCAGCCGGGGGGGCTGCGCCATTGCATTCTGGGGAGGCCTAGTCAGAGATAAGATAGGCGAGGTTGAGAATGCTCAGAGTCCCCACTTTCGTTTTTCTGTCGTGGATAAAGGACCAAGCACTTGCATCCCCATCTCCAACACCTGAGGGGGAAAGCACTGGTCACCTGGCCGGCTTCCGACTCTGGAGACTGGCTTTCCCTTCCCTGGGGTTCCCCACCTCGTTCTCTAGTTTGTCAGCTCCCAGGATCTCAGGAAAGGCTAGTTCAGACCAAGGTTACCGCTGGTTCACCTTTCCCAGCTGTTTGGAGGTATCCTAATTGCCAAGAGGCTTCCCGGAGCAGGCACAGCCGCCTCTCAGGCCAGGCCCATGTCTCATTCAACATTCCGGTGCCAGGTGAGGTCGGGTCAACCCTCACCTTTGGGCCTCGCGGTCCCGGGGTTGGACAACTTACCCGGAGCCCCAGGAGGGGGGCGTGTCCCGTCCTGGGCTCCACTCCCCGCTGCCTCAAGTCCGAGGAGGGACTTGGGTCCGCCCGGACCCGGAGCCAGGTCCAGAGTTCCCCCGCCCGCCCGCGCCCCAGCCAGACCCCCGCTCCTGCCCCCGCCCCGGGCGCCTCCCGCGCCTGCTTACCGGTGACAGTTGGGGCCACGGGAAGCCGGGATGCGGCTGGCCGGGGCGGGCCCGGCGCGGGGAGGGCGCGTCCAGGCGGTGGGGGCCGTGCGGGAGGGGGCCGGGGGTCCCCAGGCCCAGCCCCAGCCCCTCCGTCCCCGCGGCTCCGGGGCGTATGACGCAGCAGCCAAAGCAGCGGCAGCGGCAGGAGGCGTCGGCGGGAGGGGAGAAGGGGGGCGGTGGGAGGGGAGCCCTCGGGGGAGGGAGGAGCCGGCGGGGGGGCGGGCCCCGCCTCACCCCACCTCTCTCACCTCCTGCCGGCCCGCGGGGCGCTGGGGGAGCGGCCGCGGGCGCGCAGGTTCGGAGCCGTTGGGCGTGGAGGGCCCCACAGCCCCCGCGAGCAGTGGACGCCTCGCCCTCGGGGCAGGAGGGAATGTCCCCTCCCGGCAGCCCTGCAGGTCCGGGTGGGCCCCCGCCCCATGCCCCATTCGTTAACTACTCCGCCCCCGTGGTCACTCCAAGTACCGCCCCACTCGCGGCCCCGCCCTCCATTCACCCTTTCCCGGCCCGCGCCCCGCCCTCCCGGGGTAAGTTGCCGGCTGTGCGCACGCGTGGCCCCGCCCGAGCGGGCACCTGGGGGGCGGTGCCCTCCTCCCGCGGCCACTGGGCAGACACGGAGACAGCGTGCGCGCCCAGGCTCGGCCGCGGCCCGGCGTTCGCGGCCAGACACCAGGCCAGCCGAGCGGTGACGCGCGCCAGCAACCAATGGGCGTGGGCGGGCAAGGCCGGCGGGTTCGAACCGGCTGGCAGGGAAAGGCGGGAGTGAGGCGCTGGCGGCCGCTGGACGGCCTGAGTTCCGGTCCCGCCCTCTGAAGAGCGTTCCTGCCCCGTGTGGGGCTGGCCAGGCGCAGGATGGGGTCGCGGTGGGCTCCGCGCCGCTGGAAGGCTGGGAAGAAGCCAAGGCCTCGCGGTACAGACGCACGGTAGACTAGACGCAGCCACGGCACGGCGCCTACACACATGTAGGACCCCTGCTCTGGCAGCTGCGCACATTTTAATCCCAGCGCTCGGAGGCAGACAGTACTTCATAGTGAGACCGTGTCTCAACACCCCCCTCCAAAAAAACCCACCTATATTTAAAAATATGCAACAGACTTTCTTTATTTGATAGGGCTAAGTACATAATGCTGTCTACCCAATAAAAGCATCCCCGACACCCCCACCCAGGACGTACATACACATTAACACACAACACACACAGACATATGCACTTAGGCTTGCACAAAGCAGGCTCTGGATCCAGCCAGCTTCATTTCTTGTTGGCCCGGGCAGTGCCAATAACACACTGGTTCACCTGTGGACAAGAGTTACATGATTATGTCTGCAAGGTAACCAGAACAAGGACCCCAAGTTCTGCTGCCGTGACCCCCCTGCCCCCAGTGCTGGTACTGCTCTCGGAATACTGAAACAGAACGCAATGAATGCAGGTTCGGCCTGGTCCCACTTTCGGCTAATTGTCATGCCCATTAGGAGGTCAGAGATGTCTCAGTGCTTAAGAGCACTTGCTCTTTACAGAGGACCTGGGTTCAGTTCCCAGCATCCACATGGTGACCCATAACTGCCTAGTTGCAGGGAATCCAATCCCCTCCTCTGGCCGCCCCCCCGACCCTGCATGCACACGGTGCATTTAAATGAATGCAGGCAAAACCCACACGCACATAAAATTTTAAAAAAAGTCTGAGCCCAGCGTGGTGGCACATGCCTGTAGTCCCAGCACTTGGGAGGCAGAGGTAGGCAAATCTGAGTTCAAGGCCCACCTGGTCTACATAGTGAGC